GGAGTGGCCAGCCAGGAGGGAGACTCTGGGAGCACCTTCCAGACCATTCTGCCCACTCTCCTTTGGGTTTGGGTCACTCGGTGGACAGTGCACCCCCGCTTGTCTGTGACCCGGAGCTGGCCGAATACCTCTAGCAAGGTGGAGCTTGAAGAGAAGGCGTTGGATTATGAATCGATACTACCAGAGGGCACACTCGGATTAGAACCAGGACAGAAACAGTTCGCGCCATGCATAGAGCTCTTTCCAGCCACCCTGTGAGGCCAACAGTATGATCTCAACTGGAGACAGACACAGGTCTGTAGCATGAAAATACTCTTGTGCCAAATTTGGCCACTGTGTTGACAGAGCCAAATGTGAACAAGATCTTCTGTTTCCAAATTCCTCAATATTTCCATCCCCGCAGGCTGCCTGCAGTTAACAAGGGACTTTTATTTTTATTTTATTTTATTTTGTTTTATTTAAATTCGATTAGCCAAGGTATAGCACATCATTGGTTTTTGATATAATGTTCAATGATCCATTAGTTTTAAAATCTGCTCCGTAGCATCTGAAGCTGACTTACAATGGCAAGTGGAGTAGGGACCGATTTGACAATGGATGCGATATTGCAGAATTGTTGTAGAAATCTCACACTTTGATCAAGGGGCCTGCCTTCCTTACCTGGCCAACTGAACATGTTAAAGCAGACGTGAGCACTTTGGAGTTTTCAAAAAAAGCAAGTCCAGAGTTTGTTTTCCGGGGCCATATTAATCCTGTTTTTAATTTTCTATATATTATGTTTTGGCATCTTATTTCTGGCTGGGGAGGGACTGCCCCTCCCACGGTGAGCCTTTTCTTAGAGATAAGGAAGGCCCCCCCCCCCCCCCCCCCCCCGTGGACCAGGTCTTTAATGTGCAAATGAACCCATCCAGAGCCACACTGCCTCTGTCTGGCCCTTATGCCTCAGGAGACAAGATTCCTGGGCCTTCATTGTCCCAGCCAGGTGCCAGGCAGCTAGGTGTCACCCCTACAGCCAGCTGCCAAAATTACTCAAACTAGCCAATCCTAATCTGTTCGTCCTGCCGTGTGTCCACAAAAATACTCAATAAAGGCCATGACCCGGACCTGTCTGTTTCTCCGGACCAAAACTTGTGACCCTCCTCCCATGGCCTAGCACGGCAAGCCATGTCTCCTGTTTCTAAGAGACCCAAAGTTACATTAATGTTTTCTTTCAATGACATTAACTTGTCCTGGCTGTCATTCAGTCATCATTGTAAATTAAGACCTGGACACAAAATGGGTTTGTTCTGTGATGCACTGTGGCCCGTGAAATGCACTGTGCAAAAAATCAGACTTGGGGTCAAATAAATGCAGGCTATTTTACAGAAGGTATTACCTTTTCAGAGATTTATTTTTATCTAAAATGATTCAAAAAATATTAATGTGGAATAACTTACCTACAGCAAAGCACACAGATCTTGGTTGTATGGCTCAATGAGTTTTTACATATGTAACCACCACCCAGATCAAAAATAAAATATATCCAGCTCTCCAGAAGGGCCCTTGTGCCCTTTCCTGGTTAATAATCCCTCCACCAGAGGTAATTACCATTCTGACTTCTATTATCATTGATACATTTGGCCAGGTTTTGAACTTCTTATCAGTGGAATCATTCAGAACATACTCTTTCCAGTCTGGCTCCTTTCATTCAACGTAATGTCTATCAGATTAGTACATAGTGTGTTTATCAGAAGTTTGTATTTTTTAATGGCTGTGTAACGTTTTATTGACCCACTCTATTGACGGAAATTTATTGTTTACATTTTTGTCCTTTATTGCTGTATTTCCTCTTGGCTCCAAATTCACTCTTTTTTGGCTACTCTGTGAAAATGGCTCTGGGCCCAAGGTGACCTCTCTGCTGTCAGTGGGCCAGGCTGTCATGGAGGTCTGCATCTCAGGCCTGGGTTGGGGGACTTTCCTTGAGTTTCATCTTAAGCTAGAGGCTGGGCTGCTCCTTATTCCTGCTGTTCCTGTGTTCTGAGAGATCGCTTTACTTACTGCTAATCGCTCATCGCTCAGATCCCTTGTTAGAAGAACAATTCTTTATGTTAAACTTTCCCTTTGAATTACTGTGTGGCTTCTCTCTCCTGATCAGACCCAGATGGAGAGCACAGTTCCTGGTTATTATGGGCAGCAATGTGCTCTGCACGTTCTTGGTCACACCCCATTTCTGTTGGGTATGAGCTCAGGTGTGGTTTGCCGGGTCAGGGCGCATAGCTTTCCCTGCAGTAGATGCTGCCAAATAGAAACGGCTTTCCCACGTCCCACTTCCTTTTAGTCATCTCCGTGGGTGGCAGTGGCCTTTCACTGTGGTTTTATTTGCATTTCCCTGATGACTAATGATGTCCTTTCTTGGGCTTTGGCCATTTGGATATTTTCTTTTGTGAAATATCTGTTCACAGTTCATTTTTTAAGATTGTGGGGTTTTTGCTTTGTTTTGTTTTTGTGCTTTCTTTGTTGATACATAGCAGTTCTTAATATAGTCTGGGTAATAGTCCTTTGTCAGATATATGTATGGCACATATGTTCTCCCTTTCTGTGGCTTGCTTTTGAAGTCTTTCCATGGCATTTTTTTTTTAAGATTTTATTTATTTATTTGACAGCGAGAGAGGGAACACAAGCAGGGGAGTGGGAGAGGGAGAAGCAGATTCCCCACAGAGCAGGAATCCCGATGCGGGGCTCGACCCCAGGACCCCGGATCATGACCTGAGCCGAAGGCAGACACTCAACAACTGAGCCACCCAGGTGCCCCATCGATGGCATTTTTTGAAGTTCCATTCATCATCCTTTTCTTCAGATCCAGGAGGTCCTCCCCTGCCCCCGCCCCTCAGCCCCATTAAACTTCACTTTGCAGACTGACTCTTTGGCTTTCCAGCCCTTGGGGATATGGACTTCCAATCCCTTTGTCATCAAGCCCTGTAGCCTTAGGCCAAGAGTCCCACCCACCTGGCCTGGGCAGGGACCCTCTGTTTGACAGAGTTAAGACATTGACTTCGGGGCTCCCCATAGACAGCCTTTCCCTGCCCTAAAGCCCTTAGCTTTGTGCTGTTACTTACTTGTTCCACTGTAATTCAGACATGCCCAGTGTCTCACCTATGCAGAGCCCTCTCAGGTATTAGGTGGACATACCCCTGGCCCTCCGGGTGCTCTGGCCCAGAGGGGGCACAGTGACCCCAGCCTGGAGCCGAAGTGACACCTGCAGAGGAGCCTGGGGAGGGCAGGAAGCAGAGGAGAAGGGAGGGAGGGAGGGGCCTGCAACCTTCTGCCTCGCCTTGATCTATAATTCATGCACAGTACTTATCTACTCCAGTTCCGAGGCTCTGTGTCTGTGTCTGTATTGCTCGTAGGTTGAAAGAGCAAAGCCTGGTGTCCAGAATCTGCTAAATAAACTGTTGTTCCATCCTGACTGGATGGCCAGGCTACACAGGCTGGCTGGCCCAGGTGTGTTTTGAGGTGGGGCTTCCGTCGCAGAGGTTTGCCTGTTTATGACTCTGTCCATGGAGATGCTTCATGCTAAGGGCTCCTGCCTCTGGCCAAACTGTGAGGGACGGAACCTGGGGGGTATAGACTTCCCTTTCTAGAAACATGCTCTTCCAGGTTCTGTTCCTTATTGATGCTAGGTGCCCTCCCCGAATCCCCTTCAGTGGGTCCTTGTAGCACAACATATATAACCAATCTAAGGCGTAAATGGGGATATGAGGTGTAACTTCGTGGTCACAGCACTGGAGGTAGGGAGTGTGTTCCAGTTGCACATGAAAATAAATGCCCTCAGGGAGTGTTGGCCAGTCGGGCCGTGCCTCTTGCTCTTTCTCATGGGTGCCATTTGGGGTCCAGCGAGTGACCAGTGCATAAGTGAGCTGAGCATCCTTCCCTGCGGATTGAGATCCATGTGAAGGATCCTGAGAAATATAGGGGAATGATATTTTAAGGTTTACTAATGAGGCAACCCACTGAAGAAGAGCAAACTTATCTGGGAAAGGAAGCAAAATAGAGAAATGTCATCATCTTTCTTGTGATTTGGTTTTTATGTTTCGTTTTCAAATGTGTTGTGGGGGAAAATGCAATTTGGTTCCCCTTACCCCTTTCCTCAGCCAGAATAAACTACACATCTTACCCCCGTAAATCACTGTTCTCGCAAAGAAGAGGGGCACCTGGGTGGCTCAGTCGGCTAAGTGTCTGTCTCTGGCTCAGGTCATGATCTTGGGGTCTTGGGACCCCGCACTGGGCTCCCTGCTCAGCGGGGAGCCTGCTTCTCCCTCTCCCTCTGCTGCTCCCCCTGCTTGTGCTCTCTCGCTCTTCTCTGTCAAATTAATGAATAAATAAATAAAATCCTTAAAAAAAAAAACCAACAACAACCAAACTATTCTCACAAAGGAAAAAAAAAAAAGGAAATAGAATTCTCAGCGTCCTGTCAGCCACGGCTCAGACGCGTTCTTGCCACCCATGGGCCTCCCATAGTGATTTCTCTGAACTGGGTGGGGGCTCCAGCTGGACAAGACCGCCGTGGGGGCCATGAAGGACAGGGGCCAGACTAAGTTGGCCTCCAGGGAGTTAGCTAGTTCTGGAAGTTTCCATCATTGTTCCATAGCTTTTATGGTAAAGCATTTGGAACAGAATTTTAACTGAATGAAATTTCAAGGTCTGATTTTACCATCAAATTAAGTGACCCTTTTCTTCCTTGCACTTGGTTGTTTTTTTTTTGTCTTGCTGGCCCCTCTGAGCTCCCCCCCAGGATGGCATTTTGAAGATAGGGACACCGAGTTGAGAACTGATGGATCTCTTACCTGTGTCAAATTCTGTAAGACTGTTATGTAGGAAGGTCAATTATTAGTATAAGACATTGGACTGAAGCTGACTTATGGGTCCACCAGGTCCCCTTCCAGAGCTCTGGGTGCTGTCCTAGCGCATCAGGCCCGACAGGCTTCCTGGATATTTGCATATGCTGTTATTGTTGTCAACAGGTGCACCGTGTGGTGGAATCTCTTGATCGCACCCACTTTGCAGAAGAGAAAAACGGGGCTGCAGTGGGGCCCAAATGCTCCTCAAGGTCACCTGGGTAGGTGGTGATGCGGGTCTGCAACACCCTGGGATGGCCAATGGTGAGCAGCTGCTGGTGAGGCCTGGCTGATTTGAATGGTGTTATTCTTTTTGTTTTTTCCTTATAGTGACTCTTGAGGAAGGGAATCATCATTTTGGGTAAACGCAGTGAGTCCAGAACTGGACAGTGCCCAACGGCATTCACTGACAGCTCTTCGGCAAGTTTCCTCTCGGAATCTACCCTGGGGTTTAGTTTTCAAACCAGAGGGTTATCAGAGCCAGGAAAAAGTTAGTTACTTGCTTTCTAAATGTTATAACATTAACATGGGTGGTCCTGGATTTGCTGAGAATGACAGGGGTGTGTGGGCACAAGAAGAAAGAAGCAGGAGATTTAAAGAAGTAACCCCCCCTTCTAAAAAAAAATAAAATAAGCGCCGCTAGCAGGGATGGAATTCCAAGATATGTACGGTATTCCTGCCTTATCTGAGGTTTTGTGTTCTAAGGTTTCGGTCACCCGTGGTCCACCACGGTCCAGAAGCAGATGGTCTCCATTCTGACCTATTGTCAGAAGGTCAGTGGTAGCCCAACGCGACGTCACACGCCTGCACCGCCCGCCTCACCTCATCTCATCACGTGGGCATTTTATCATCTCCCATCATCACAGGAAGGGTGAGTATAGCGCAGTGAGACCCCATTCACGTAACTTTCATTACAGTTTTTTGTTATAGTTGTTCTATTTTATTATTAGTTATTGTTGTGAATCCCTTACTGTGCCCGATTTAAAAACTAAAAGTCATAGGAACGTATGTAGGGGAGAAAACAGCATATATAGGGTTTGGTACTATGCTTGGCTTCAGGCAGCTGCTGGGGATCTTGGAAGGTATTCCCACAAATAAAGGGGGATGAATGTAGTTGTGCAGATCTGAACACCGGTCTTTCTTCTTTCTGGGTGTGATAAAATGGTGCTTGGTTTGATCAGAGAAGAGTGCAGACGGTTCATGCATTTAGATCTAGAACACGTGGTTTCCAGTCTTGCAGGTTCTCTAGGTGGACTTCATTATGGAGTCAGGGATGGGCAGAGCTGGAAGGACCTAGTGGGAGATCTGGTCCCGTATTTTAGAGGGGGAATCTGAGACTCCCACGGGTGAAAGGCAGTCTGGCCTGGAGCCCTGTGCTCCGATTGCACACTGTGGAGTGAATGTTGCTATTGGGCGTCCATGCTCACCTTTGGATAACAGCTCTCCAGCTCTGTGTGCCGTGAGACCCCAGAGTCTCTGGAACACGAGCCGTGAGACGTGGGTGTCTTCCCCCATCTATGCGTCCCAGGGCAAAGCTAAACATGCTCTCCTTCTTTTGAGGTCTGACCACTGCTCTTTGTTCCTTTCAGATGGCTTACATGAAGATGCGCTTGATGTACATTTCCCTGGTGGTCCTGGGAGCCCTCTGTTTGTATTTTAGCATCTACAGCCTGACTCCTTTTAAAGACGAGCCGTTTGTTTTCAAGAAAGAAAGGGGGAACTTCCTTCAGCTTCCAGATATCAACTGCAGGCAGGATCCCCCCTTCCTCGTCCTGCTGGTGACCTCCTCCCACGAACAGATGTTTGCTCGCACGGTCATCCGGAACACGTGGGGGAAAGAAAAGAATGTGAACGGAAGACTCATAAAAACCTTCTTCCTTTTGGGAGCCACATCCAGTAAAGACCTGTCGAAAGTGGTAGTGCAGGAAAGCCAGCGGCATCGCGACATCATCCAGAAGGACTTCACGGACGCCTACTTCAACTTGACCCTGAAGACCATGATGGGTATCGAGTGGATCCACCGCTTCTGTCCTCAGGCGGCTTTTGTGATGAAAACGGACTCGGACATGTTCGTCAACATCTACTACCTGACCGAGCTGCTCCTCAAGAAAAACAGAACCACTCGGTTTTTCACCGGCTTCTTAAAACTGAACGAATTTCCGATTAGGGACAAGCACAACAAGTGGTTTGTCAGTAAATACGAATATCCGTGGGAGAGGTACCCGCCCTTTTGCTCGGGCACTGGCTACGTGTTTTCCAGCGATGTGGCAAGTCGTGTGTATGATGTGTCCGACAGCGTCCCGTTCATTAAGCTCGAAGACGTCTTTGTGGGGCTCTGCCTGGCAAAACTGAAAATCAGGCTGGAGGAACTCCACTCCGAGCAGACCTTTTTCCCAAACGGGTTGGCCTTTTCCACGTGTCGTTTTAGGAAGATCGTGGCCTGCCATTTCGTCAAGCCTCGCAACATGCTGAGCTATTGGCAGGCTCTGGAAAATTCTCTGGAAGAGGAGTGTCCAGCTGTCTGAGCAAGCCCAGGGGCCCATGCGGACACACTTGAGACAACCCATAGTTTGGAAGCTCTTCAGGGGGCATTGCTGAGGGTCCTCGTGGGGCAGGGAGGGAGTGAGGAGGGAGGAGGAAGAGGCAGGTGAGGGTGCTCTCCTCTAGCGCTGCCCGTCTAACTGAGTTTGTAAGCCTGAGTGGAACCGCTTGGTGCCCAAGCGATAACAGAGGCCATCTCTTGGGTCCCTACACGACTGCGCTAAGTGTCTGACGCACGCCTCCATTTTCCCATTTCCAGGATCAGTGTCTATATGCAGCGGTGGGTGTCAGCATCCCCATCTTACACACCAGGCAGCCGCAGCTTATGGAAACCCAGGGCCTTGTCCCAAGGCTCCCGGCCAACAAACACTGGGGCAGGGATGGAGATCCAGCACTGTGAGAACCCAGGCGCAGCCGCTGGCTTGGCCCACCCCTCCGTCCTGCCTCCCTTGGCAGGGAGTGGCGGCCAGGAGGGCTCGGAGGCAAGCCTGGTGGTGGCATCCTTCAGTCCCTTTCAGGAGTCCCTTCCACTTCAAGTCCCAGTCCTTTAGCTTTCAGTGCTGTCCCTGGGGTGAAGCAGCACGCCCCCAGCGCCCTCATTCACCGCAGTGGATCGAGCAGGGATACCGAGTCCCCGTGAGCAGCTCGGTATTCAGCTCACAGCAGAGCAGGCACATCCCCGGCCGTTGCCCCTAAGAAACGGCCATCTCTAGACAGAAAACCGTGTTCATAGATTCGGCTTGGAAACAACTGCAAAGCTGGCCTGTCGAGCGGACTTCTTGGCCACGCTGCCAGCATCCCCAAGGGCACGGCATGAGCTCCCTGAAATGAGCTTTGGTCAAGGGGGGCTGTCTTCCTGTGCCTGCTTCCCACGGCTGGCCCAGGCTCATCTTTTTGGAATTTCTCAGACGGCCAGAGAACAACTGAGTTTGTGAAGTGATTAACCTTCTGTTTCCTTCCGCCTGGAGGTTTCTAGGAGCCTGTTCTGCAGGCTGTGTGGGTGAGGCCCTGCTTGGCGGGGGTCTTCACCTGTTCAGCGGCTGTGGGATTACATGCTAAGCTGCCCTGCTCCTGGTTGTAGGAATGATTCGTACTTATTTTTTACTTTACCTGACGTGACTTTACCAGCGCTCAAAGTGAAGGCCTCCCATGGCTGGGCAACCCACAGAAGCCAGACCAAGCTCCTACCTGAGCCCAGGTGGAGGTATTTGCTGCAAAATGGCCGTGGCAACATTAACCCGAACGGCGTTTCCCCTATCTGCTGCTTCTCTGCAGACGTGAGCCCTTATCCTGGCCGCTCTGCACGTGCTGGACTGTGCTCAGGAAGCCTTCCTCCCAGGTGGGACAGTCAGGGCCTGAGCTTCCTTTTGAGCCCAGATTTTGTCGGAGCCTTGGTCCTGCAGGAGGGCGCCCGATGCGGAAGATAACGGTGGGTGGGGGGTGTTGAGGGTGAAGGAGCTCCTCCGGCAGCAGGGCTGGGTCTGTGCCTACGTGTCCACCCTGGGTGGGGCGTGTGTCCGTGTGGCCACTGGGCTCGGTGTGGCGGACCCAGGATCTGGCCTTCCCCTCAGCCTGTAGCTCAGTCCCAGGGATCACGAGCCCAGGCAGGGCTCTGTTACCTGAGCCGGGGTCTTGGGCCCGACCACGATAGAAGTGACGTGGGACCCACGAGTCAGAGGCACGGGCAGTGCTGTATTGGAGGAAGCTCCTACTTTGTCCAGCGTTCCCACGCCTGTCCCTTATGCCACTAAGGGATGGAAAGTGCCTCGTCCTGATTGGCTGCTGTTGGCAGGCGACCCAGCAGCTCATTGGTGTTCTTGGAGCTGTGGTCTTCCAGGTTGGTGGAGCCTCCTTTTGTCCCCGCCTCAACAGGACGTGGCCCCGGCTGTTGCTGGAAGTCCGGCCGGTGTGGGGTCGGACCCTGGTTCTGCTCTGTGAGAAAATCAGTTCAGGAAGAACAGCCGACCAGAAGTGCCCCAGGTCCATGACATTTGTCATTTGGGGCTTGTTCCTGTGGTCCCTGACTGTCTCATGGCCCCCGGAGAGCTTTCATGCACCTGATGCTTGCAGGGGAATGTGGATGGAGGTCTCATCTCCTGTGTCTACATCCTGCTTATCGAGGGCGTAGACGCTGCCTCTCATTGGAGGTCATGGCAATGTCCCGCTATCTGATTTAATCCTGACATGAGAGCGCGGTCCCCAGCGGGTGTGGGCTGAATCCCCAGGCGAGCATCAGCTGGATATGGGACTGTTGGAGTCTAGAGGACACGAATTTGACAAGTAAAGTAAAGAAGCATGGCCCAAATAGAAACAGCAGTAAAATGGCCACTAAGGGCGTGAGGAAAGGCAAGAACCAGGTAACACATGGCAGGTACCCCTTAACGGAGTGCCAGATGGTTTGAGCATGGGGGCCTTAAAATTATGGAGCCAGGAGGCCTTTTGGGGGATGATGTCATCCCTTCGTCCTACCTCTCCAGAAACATGAATGTGGAATCAACAAGATGGATTTGCAATAGCATATACTCGCCCTGGGTCAGCCAGTGGAGAGTCTAAGGCTAATTGGTGATCTAAAACCGCGGAAGCCAGAGTCTAATGATCTTAGATAAGCTTAAACTCCTGTCCGGTTTCAGCCACCACTGGGGACACAGTGGCTTCTGTGTGGAAGCGTTGTGCATTGTTCCCCGGCTGGTCTCATCACGGATCCGACCCAGGGGACTCTGAGCGTTCAGCCATCCTCCGGCTCCCCTGGACCTCCGTGGTGGTGATAGCTGAGTGTTAGAAGGGTTACTGATGACTATTTGAATATTTTCAGGGGACGGTGCAGCATGTCCCACAGTCTCCGCTAGTCTTATTGGTATCAAGACATTGAACTGGTGTCCCCCTTCCCATCTGACATTCTTAGGAAGACCATTCCTTCAGCTAGACCCAGGAGCCCTGGGGAGGGGGGCTGGGCACTGAGGTGGTGAGTGGTTGTGGGGCATCCACAGGGAGTGCTTGTCGTCATCCAGGTCTCCATCATCAGTGCTGCCATATACTTGTGGCCCTGTGTGACAGTCTGGGTAACTGTGACACCAAGGCCATATCTCCTAGATCATACGCCATGTTTGAGATGTGGGGGGGTATTGCTGCATATAAAGGGGGGCAGGGCTGGGGCGTGGGGTTCGCCGCACCTTTTGGTGGGCAGCTGCATAAAATGATACTAAGTATGCGGGCTCATTTGGCAGTCAGATTACAGGTGGAGGCCCGCAGAGATCACAAGAGGGGTCATGTGGTATACCAATGATGGCTGATGGATGAAAACGTGTTGTTGTAATCAGGTCAGCGGGTGTTGGGTGGATGCTGAGGACTGGGTTTGTGTGAGGTTTATTGGCTCTGTAAATGGGGTGGGCTTGGCCCCGGGACGACTCTGCAAGCTTGCCTCACAGAACATCTTTATGTGCTTCTCCATGGACTTGTTCATGACATACCCATTGGTCTGATTAAGTTTCTAGTGCGGTCTGAGACAATGTTTTTAGTAATTTGGAGCAAAGAATTTTCTTCCCCTTTCCCCACGTTTTGCTTACGCCCTATTATGATCAGGGAAGACATAAGCACCAGGACAAGAAGGGGTATGTATGGTTAGTTTTATTTTTTTTCTTCTTAGCCAGGACAAAAGAGGTGTGAAAGGACAAGAGAACAGACCCAGAGCCACCCCAGGAAATGTTAGACTAACCTGGACCGCTTACCCAGCAGGGGCAAACCAGGTGTTTTCCAGGGAGTGGTGCTGCTTTAAGCAGCAAGTGAATGGGAGACACAGATGCAAGAAAAGAAGGTGATGGGGACGATGATCCACCACATTCCTTACCTGTTTGCAGTGATGACTTTTTTTTAAAAGATTTATTTATTTGAGAGAGAGAGCAAGCAGGCAGATGAGCACGAGTGGCAGAGGGAGAGGGAGAGAGAATCCCAAGTAGACTTTGCACAGAGCACGGAACCCTATGCCAGGCTCCATCTCACGACCCTGAGATCATGACCTGAGCTAAAACCAAGAGTCGGACGCTCAACCGACTGCGCCACCCAGGCGCCCAATGACTGTCTTTTGAATTTCAGAGCTTCAGTTGGTTCAAAGTATAGGTGTGGTTGGCCGGTGGGTCCTGAAGAAGTCCGGGGCGGGGGTGGGGGGGAGGGCAAGTTTAATCTTGATGAGATGGACCCAGCTGGGTACTCCTTCCAGCCCTGTGGCGGTGGGAGCGGCCAGAAATCCCCGGTAGGGTCCTTTCCATTTGGGTTGGAGTCGGTCCCTCGGTGATCCCTCTTTCCGTGTCATAAGTGCTGCTTATTCCCCGGGCCCAACCTTTGGGAGGACAGAGGGATCCGGGTGGGGTCTGGCGGGATTTTATTGCCACATTGCTGTAGGGCCTGTTGCGTCTTGCTTCGGTTCCCCTGGCGGCGAAAGATGCCCTGCTGTCGCTCTGAAGGGACTTGGGCAGCCCCAGATCTTGGAATGATTTCTTTTAAAAGACATTTGCACACCTCAGTAGCCTTTTCTGTCCTCGAACAGAAAGCCTCTATCCAACCGGTAAAAACATTTCCAGACCCAAGAAGATACTGACAACCAGCCTTTGAAGGCATCTGAGTAAAATCAGTTCCTGAGCCCTCAGAGCCTGCCTGTTGGGCTCCAGCTGTGTTCCTGATGCCACCTTGCCTGACCACGAGGGTAAGAAGCTCTGTGACAGCAGGAACTGGGAGGCAAAGCGATGCTCTTCCCGTGACAGCCAATGTTAGTTTTGTACTGGGACCTGCAGGAACCAGGCTGGTTGGTGGCTTCACCCTTGGGTGTCCAGGGGGAATGACTGGTGGTGAACCCTGTTTCCTGGGTGTGCTGAGATGAGCACCCTACATGCATTATGTCCTTAAATGCTCAAAGTAGCTCTATGGGGGAGGGGGCGCCAGCCATGGGCCCGCTTTGCGGGTGAGGAAGCCCAGGTGGCAAGAGGGAGGGAGCAACTCGCTCAAGGTTGCCGGCACAGCTGAGAAGTTGCACATTTAGGGGACGACCCCCCTGGGTGGGCCTCCCAGGCTGCCAGCCGGCCGCCTGTCCGTGTTCAGTGGGGTGCAGGAGCTCATTGCGTCGGGGGCTCAGGCTGCACCTCTTGCATGCCCTCCATGCCCCTCCACACGCCCACCCACCAGCGTCTGAACCCCAGTTCCCAGCCTTGTGCTCTGGGACTAGGCTCCGTGGTGCCAGCCCCTCTGATTTTGCACTTGATTCCAGCTCTTCCCACCTGGTGGAGCGCAGGACTCCTGCACGGGGCAGTTCAACCCCACAAGGGAGTTCTGTGTTGTCGTCTTAAATTTCTCCTCTCCTGTTCTTTCTGAGTGCCCTCCCATCAGACGTTGCTGCCCCCTCCACCAGCTGGTTCTTATCAAGCTCTCTGAGGACTCCCGTTCTCGGTCCTTATCTTGCCCGACTGCATGACTGGTCTTGCTGGCTTCAGGCCCAGCTCCGTCCCCAGCTTCCAGGATGCTTGGTGCTCTTGGTTCTCCTCCTCCCACCTGCTGCCACTCCTTTTCGGTCGCCTTTGCTTGGGGCTCTACCTTCGGATTGTATCCAGAGGCCAACCTCTTCCCAACACCTCACGGCTGCCGCCTGCCCAAGCCCCTGTCCCCGCACCTGTGTTCCTGTTCCTGTGCCCACTGTCTCCGTTCCCACCTCTGCACCCCTTAGGTCTATTCCCAAAACAGCTTCCAGAGCGCTCTTCAAAAATATAGGCCAAAGCATCTCACTTGTCCACTCAGAGCCCCCCAGTGGCTCCCCATCTCTGAGGAAAAGCCACATCTTTAATATCGTTACCTGTTTCTGTGCCTTAACCTTGTCCCTTCATGCTGTCCCCTTCCTGCCACTCTGGCCTCCTTGCCTTCCTGGAACAGCCCAGACACACTTCACCAACTGCAGGGCCTTTGCACTGGCTGTTCCCTTTGCCAGGATTACTCTTTCCCCAGAGCGTCTCATGGCTCACTCCTTTGCCTCCTTCAAGCCTTTGGTCAGATATCACCTTCTTGGTGAGGCTTACCTTGCCCCATCCCACGGCCCCTTACCTTGTGCTATTTTTCCCATTGGACTTACCAGTTTCTAACAAAGTATATAACATCTATTTATTATAATATATTTCATTTATTTTATTTCAACCCACTTTAATGAGAGCTCTGTGCAGGCATGGATCTTTGTTTCCTTCATTGATGCACCTTAAATCTTTTTTTTTTTTTTTAATTAATTAGGCTCCCTACCTAGCATGGAGCCCAACATAGGGCTTGAGCTCATGACCCGGAGATCAAGACCTGAGCTGAGATCAAGAATCGGATGCTTAACTGACTGAGCCACCCAGGCACCCCAGACGCACCTTAAATTTTTAGCACAGCTCCTGGCACATAGTAGATGCTCAACAAATATTTGTTGCGTGGAACTGAAATGGTCTTTATGGGAGACGGTTTTAGGGGGGAATCAGAGAGCCTAGGCTGAAAGGGGGAGGCTTCTAAAACACAGCCAACAGCATGGCTCCCAGCGAATCAGTAAATGAGGAGTGAGATTTTACTGCAAACCGTGACCTGAAAATCTAGAAGGGCTTTACAGCAGTGCTTCTTGACCTCATGCCCCCTCCCGGTAGTAGAAAGCCTCAGACACTGGGAAGTGGGTGGAACCCTATAATGTACTCCTCCGCATGCCAACCTTGTCTCACCTGACACCCCCTTGACACCTCCCTTCCATCTCTTTTGATAATTATAGAAATCTGTCTCTTTTCCTCAACTGTGTCCAACTTTTATTTATTTTTATTTTTTTAAAGATTTTATTTATTTATTTGAGAGAGAATGTGCACAGGGGGGAGGGGCAGAGGGAGAGAGAATTTCCAGCAGACTCCCCACTGAGCGCATAACCTGACGTGGGGCTTGATCTCACGACCTTGAGATCATGACCTAAGCCAAAACCAAGAGTCGGACGCTTAACCAACTGAGTCACCCAGGCACCCCAACTGTGTCCAACTTTTAGTCCCAGAAGAATGAAAACAATAAACCAAATTGCCAGGAAACACATGGGATCACTAATGTGACTTTTCAGTCCTACTGTTTTTTGTATATAAATAACTACATACATAGCATCTTTGGGACACTAAAAGCCATCCTCTGGATTTGAGGTCATTTTTCAAAACCATAACTATGAAGCAGTGTTCACTCTCTTGAGCTGTGCGGGTGAATTCGGGACATTGGGGTCATACCATGGTCAGCCCAGGTATGAGGAATGTGGATGGCCCACAGGTTACTCAGAAGGGGGTCACCGGACTCCCAGACCTCATGGGGCTGTTTTGACAGGTGGTTGAGACAATGTGTGTAAACTACTCAGTAACGTGCATGTTTTTGATGATAGTATTTGGGTCGTGAATTTTGGTGCAGACTACGATGGTATATTTATAGCGATCTGTGTGCAAATCAAGAGATCTTTGGGGTAGGTCTTTAAGACTATTCTTTTCCTCCTTGAATCTTCCCTGGCACTTTTGGAAAAATTCTGGTATCTGGGGAGTTTCTCAAAATTGCAGAGCATAGTGTTCCAGACTCGGTTAATTCAGAGTGTATGAAAATCTGAACAGGTTACAAAAAATGGAGCTGGAAGGTGCCTTAGAGATTATCCATGGTTTAAGTAACAGCCTCCTTTTTACTGATGAGAAAACCAGTGAGGAGAATGGGGTGGTTTTTCTAAGTCCTTCGGTTAGCAGCATCGCCTGGTCAGAAACCAGCATCAGAAAGCTAATGTCAGTCATCCGCTCTTTTATTTATTCATCCCTTGGGGAAGATATGCTCACTGCTTTTTACAGAATGTCAGGAAGAAGGGTCAAGCCGAGGTTCTTGGCTGTGGGTTTTGCAAACAGCTTTAGCTATTTAGGGTAAATACACAATGTCAAGAAAGTGATTGGGTCAACCGTTCTCTTGGCAACTGAAAGAAAAAGCATTTGTTCAGCACCTTCTTTGTGGACAGACGTCGTGACCCATTTCCACAGAAGCTGTCCCAGTGAACCCTCACAACGTTTTGGGGTCTCCATTGTTATCAGAATTAACACCCTGGATTTGAGCTGAGGAACCTGAGTGGGGGCTCAGTGATTCAGTGGGGCTCAGACGTGGCAGAGACCTGGCCCCTTGGTCTTCAGTGCCTCGCCCTTCACCAGAGCATGGTTGGCAAGTCCTCCCACGGGGCTGAGGGTGGACAGGGCATCCTGAGTCTTCCACAGGAACCCAGGGCTGGCCCCACCCAAAGGGTCTTCCATCTTGTCCCTTTGCCTGGGCCACCACTTCTTTTCTGAGTGTTGACACATGTCTCCATCTGCTCCTTCCTGGTCCTATTTGACCTTCTGGAACTTGGCCCTTTGTCATCTGTGGTGTTCCCAAGAATCTCCTGTTTAGCTGAGTCCTCTGACCTGTCCTGTCCCAGTCCCTCAGATTTCCCCAGACAAGCATCTGGCTCCAGAACATGAACCCTCCAGACTAGTCCAACCTCTAGTTCCAGTCTCTCACTACCCAAAGTCCTGGTGAAACAAGTCATCTGTCAACACTCCAGACAGGCTGCTTCTCCCACTGTGTGTGTGTGTGTGAGTGTGTGTGTGTGATCCAAGGCTTTAAGTAGAGGCACCACGCTCCGTGGCAGCTGGTTTCCATGTGCCATCTGCCCTCCCCCGAGTGTGGGAAGGTCAGAAAACCCACGGTTTGCTTACGTGGGATGTACAGCTGCAGGTGCCCCTGGAATCCTCCTCAGTGCTGGGACGACAGCATGGAGCTTGAGAGGTCACGTGTCCTCAACACTGTACAATCGGTCACATGCCTGTTACCCAGCATGTGCCCCGTGGAGTGCTGGTGTGCTGGAAACACGGGCTGTGGGATGATCGGCAGTCACGGTGTTTAGAGACTGTCCTGGACTCCAACTTCTAGGCAGAATGTTTAGAAAGCGTGAAATACGATGAAAGAGATCGAGCAGCCTACTGACTATGGGTGTGTTTCTTACAAGCAAGAACCGGGTGCAGGGCTGTCCAGAGTCCTCTGGCCTGATGCACAGGCTGAAAGGGACAGCCCGGCCTTGGTGATGCTCGGGGCTCGCCACACTAAGGTCCTATGGCTCTGTGATAGATTAAATAATTAACAAGCCCGTTTTACTATAACAGTTGCTGACCCTTCTCATTTAAAAATAGATGAGAAGATGTTTATCTTTTCTCTGTGTCTTCCATTTGGAAATACTTGTTTTCTCATGTTTTTTTTTTTAAGAATTAATTTTTGGTACTTGTCACATTAGGACTGATGGTTTAGCTATTTCCTGGAGACCGTAAACTTCTCCAGGCTTACTCTTTGCTCTGTCGAGGTCCCTGGCATGGTGCATGGTAAGGAGGATATACCAATAATTATCTAGTGGGTTTTTCTTTAACGTTTTTTTTTTTTTTTTTAATTTATTTGAAAGAGAGAGAGAGAGAGCACAAGCAGGGGAGAGGGGCAGAGGAAGAGGGAGAAGCAGACTCCCGGCTGTGCAGGGAGCCTGATGTGGGACTCGATCCCAGGACCCTGAGATCATGATCTGAGCCGAAGGCAGACACTTGACCGACTGAACCACCCAGGCGCCCTATCTAGTGGGTTTTAAGGTGATTTCTGGAAGGACATACTCAGGCAGAGTGGTGAGCTAGAGTACAGGAATTAAGTGAACCATAAGGTCCCTTCCAACACTAATTCCTGAAGCCTCTTTTATAGATTGTTATTGCCACTTATTTTTATTTCTGTTTGGTTCTACAGAACTCAAAAATCTGTATGTGAACACTAGGGAACTTCATCAAGGGCTGAGATGTATATCAAATAAACTCTCAGTTATGTCTCTGGGATATGAAATATGGTTACATTCTCTGTTTTGAATATAGATGGAAAGATCTGTAGCTTGTGGCCACTGGGAACTTAGAAGCACGAGCTCCTCGTGATTTTCCTGCTTTTCAAGTAGTCATACCAGGGAAGAACCCCTCACTCTCAGATTGGCCCTGAAACTGAGCAGGGAAGCCACCTACCCCCAGTGTGGGGCCAAGAGCCACAAAAGGCTGGAGGAGAGGATGAGGAGAGGAAGCAGGAATGTGTCCTAGCATCTGCCAATATGAATACAGACAAACGAAACATCAGATTTTAATAAAAAAAAATTCCTTCCTTATCAGACTTGATCAACTTTAGATATAAGTAGACAACTCACTTACAGAGCCAAATGTGGTTTTGGGGATCCCATTGTTTCGTATCGTCTGTTCTACTATGTCCATTCTCTGGTTTATGAGATGAGTGCCTGTTACGTGGAGAACGGAGATGGCTGGTGTGGTATATCCATGGCCTGGCCCAGAGCTCCTGTCACACATGTGCTCCTGGGATGTCAATGCTAGGTCCGTTGTCTCAAGGGGCCAGTCCTTTCGGCCCCAGAGAGATACACCAAAGAAGTAGTGAGGCCCTTTGTTAAATTCTGCTATGGAAACTATCAGGTTGGGGGAGAATTTACTTATTTTACACATGGCCATATGTGACATCAAGGAAAATCCACCATGACTGGAAGTTACTATTGTTAACCAAGGAGACTTTGTGGTTAAATTTTGTTTTTCCTAAAAGACAAGAAATAAAAGTGAATTTATATGTTACTGAATGATATTTGAAAATGTCTCTCTGTATTTTAGGGGGATGTACTAGATTCTTATGTCATTTTTTGGGAGTAGGTATAGGTATTTATTTATGATTTAGTAACACTTATCTTTAATAAAAATTAAGTTATTAAAATAGCATCTTTCACTTAACTTGGTTAGTTCTAAGTTGTAGTTAGATGTGATAAACTTTTTTTTGTATTGATGTTTCCTATATTTTGTGTTTGGGAAAGTGTTTTTAAAATTTGACTTTGATTTTGGAAAAATGTGCTGAACAATTTGACATGCTTATCTTTGTAAGAGTTGGGGATTTCTTGCTTCCCTGGATTTAGGAAGCAAAGGAATGGGGCTCTGACTCTTGGAAGGTCTTTAGGGGGACAGTGTCTGGGTGGGTGGTGAGGAGTGAGGTATCCTGCGAGAACCATAAGCCCAGGGCAGGAGGAGGCGGGCATCCTTTTAAATTTTCTTCCTCTCCTGTACATTTATATTTTTTGAAAGCCGTCATTTAAGTTTAAAAAATCAGGCCTGATGAATTAAGACCTTTAGAATCTTCATGGTAATTTATCTCTGAGGTATAGATTGGGTCCTTGGTCTTTCAAAGTGTCATTTAATGGATATAAAATGAAACAGATGCATTTTTCTTTGACTTCCACGTGCATTTGCCACAATTCTTGTGCTACTGCAGACCTGAAATCATTGTCTACCCCTGCTCCTTGCAGCCTATCTCAGACACACAGCAGAATTTGGAGGGGCCAAGGAGGGGGTGCAAGGCTGTGGGTCAGGAGCCTGGGAGGCCTGGTAGTGGGCAGAGAAGGGAATGTCTTCAAAGGATGCATGACTTGCTCTTCCCAGTCCTCCAGCCAGGCTGCCCTCCCGCCAGTGACAACATGGGGTGTCCGTGGTCCCCTCAAAGGCCTGCCCTGCCTCACCTGTTATGTCTGCTTTCCCTCACAGACCCCACTCATCACTCCACCTCCCATCTGCAGCTCCAGTTGCTCCCTCCCTTCTAGAGTATTCCCACAGCACACAAACATGCTCTCACTTCCCACTCAAGAACAACCTTCTAGACCTCCTTCTTTTTCCAGTACTGTTCCCTTTCTCTCTTTTTCCTTAAGAGGAAAATCTCTCCAAAGAGCAACCTTCTGGCTGACCAGTACCCACCCCCAGCTCCCATTTCCCCTCTCCTCTGTGCGGCACTGAAAGAGTTGTGGGGGAGGCACCACTGTTCTCCTGGCTAACCCCTGCAGCTCCCTCCCCTGGCTTCCAGGACCCTACGGTCTGCAGCATTCCCTCTCAGCTCACCTCCTGGTCCCTCTTTCCTGTCTCCTTCCCTGGGTCAATCTCCTCTTCTCAACCTAGCCAGCCATCATTTGGAGTGCTCCAGGGCTGAGACCTCGGGCTTCTTCCCAACCTCTCCACTGACGCTTGCTCTTAAGTCGAATCACCTGTTTCCGGGTGTACTGGTCTGCTGGGCTGCCAGAACAAAAGTATCAGACTGGGGGGTTTAAACAAGAGAAACTCATTTCTCACAGTGCTGGAGGCTGGAAGTCCAAGATCAAGATGCCAGCAGATTCGGTTCCTGGCGAGGCGTGCTTTCTGGTTATGTTTTTATATGGTAGGGAGAGGGCTCATTTCTCTGGTGTCTCTTCATTTAAGGGCATTGATCCTCTCATGAGGGCTCCTCTTTCGTGACCTCATATATACTTGATTACTCCCCCACCCCCAAAGGGCCTACCTCCTGATACCATCGCACTGGGGATTAGGGCTTCAGCGTAAGGATTTGGAGCAGGGTGAGAAGGCGGTGGGGTGGTGGGTGGGGACAGACACAGACATTCCACCCACAGCCAAGTCATACAGCTAGAAACTGACCCTGGAGTTCTAACTCTGACTCCACTGCCTGAAGCCTGGAATTTAATCAGAGCTGAAGTTACACATTTTAAAGGAGTTTTCCAACACTTTACTGAGTGACAATTACTACACATTCACTTACCACATTTTTGTTGAATGTTTATTGTGTGCCAGAGTTCCTGCCCTCATGGTGCTTATTTTCTCTTAAAGAAGATGGTAGGTAGACAGACTTTAATAGTACAGTGTGGTAAGGTTTTGATCAGTTCCATGCTAAGTGCAGTGGGTACACACAGAGAGGGCACTTAGTGTATTCTTGAGGGACCAGGAAAGCTCTCCAGAAAAAGGGAAATCTAACCTGAGTAGCTACATGGGAGGAGCAGGAGGGCTCAGAGAAAAACCCGGGAGAGGCTGAATGTGAGCAGGAGTGTTGTTGAGTTGGGCACTTACCTGGCACCTGAAGCAGAGTCTAAAGGGGTAGGACCAAGAATAAGACTTGCCATGGACTGAATGCCTGTGTCCACCCCAAATTCATATGTTAAATCCTCACCTCCAGTGTGATGGTATTTGGAGGTGGGGTTTGGGAGGTAATTGGGTCGTGAGGGTGGAGCCCTCACGAATGAGATTAGTGGCCACAGAAGGGCCATGTACAAGATGATTTCTCTCTCTCTCCGCCATGTGAGGACATGGCAAGAAGGCCCAGAGGCATCTGCCTGAAAACCAGGAAGAGGGGTCTCACCAGGACCCGAATTAGCCAGCAGCACCTTGCTCTTTTTGGACTCCTAGCCTCCAGAATAGTGAGAAATAAATGTCTGTTGTTTAAGCTGCTCAGTCTGTGGTATCTTGTTACAGCTGAGTGAGCTAAGACCAGATAATTTAGAGCCAGATGATGCATGACTTTGTAAGATTCTGAAACAGTCAGGATCCTGAAGCGGTCCTGCAGGATTCCCCACTCTAATCCCCACGACTATGAACATGATGAGACATCATGGCCGTGATATGTTACATTACATGGCAAAAAGGATTTGTCAGATGTAAGTAAGGTCACTAACCCGTTGGCTTGGAGTTCATGAAAAGGGAGATTATCTGGGTGAGTCCAGTCTAATCACAGCCCTTTAAAAGCAGAGTTTTTTCTGGATGGTGGCAGATGAAGATGTGGGAGAGACGCTGTGTTCAGGAAGGGTGCAACATGCTGTTGCTGGCTGAATGATGGAAGGGCTGTATGTCAGGAAACGGAGTCTTTCGCTGATAGCCAGCATGGAGATGCAACTCCGGTCCTCCAGCCACATGGAACCACATCTGCCAATAACCTGTATGAACTTGGAAGTGGATGCTTCCCCAAAGCTGCCAGATAAGTGTCCATCCCGGCTGGCACCTTGAGACGGCATGAGGGGCTCAGTAGAGCCCTGGCCAGAACCATGAGGTCCTAAGTCATCTGTGCTAGGTTTACATAGCAGTAGAAAACTAATGTTCAAGCCAAGTTACAGACAATTAGATTTTATCTGAGATACAAGAAGATAATATCCTTTGAGAGTCCAGATACATCCAGCAGGAATTTCTAGAGGACCTAGAGAGCAGGAGAAAGGTAATCTTCAAAGACTGTCCTCAGAGATAGAAGAACCAGAAGAAGGAGATTATTAAAAAAATAAACAACTAGGGAACCAAAAGGATTTCTCGGAAATTAACAATATGACAATAGAGAAGGGGAACTCTTGGGAGGAGGTGGAAGATAAATGTGAACAAATCTAGTAAATGGGGCAACAGGACAAAGGTGGAGGATGATGGAACAGACCATAAAATAAGAGGATGGGTTACACCCTAAAATAGAAGGTCCCAAGAGAAGGACCTGAGAGAAAGGGGAAAACAGGAGGGGAGATATCTGTTAAGAGATTATTCAAGAACAATTCCCAGAATTGAAGGACACACATCTCCAAATTTTATGGGCCCACCAAGGTGTTCATCATCCTGGATGACGACAGAATCACACTGACCACAGGACCTTTGAAAACACTTGTGACAGAGGTTCCTAAAAGTTTTGGAGGGAAAAACAATGGGTTTCAGAGTTGCATTGGATCTCTCAGCATCAGTACCAGTAGCTAGGAGGGACTTTTTATTTCAGGGATTATTGTTTCCAAACTTACCTTTTTTACTTGGCCAAACTACCCACTAAGTGTAAAAACAGAAGAAAGACATTTTTAAGCATATAAGGGGAAAATAAAAGCATTTTTATAAAAAAAACCCCTGGGATTTTACTATGATACATCTAAAGGAAGAACACATCACTGCACAATGGACATCAGCAAAAAGAAAATTAAACCCAGAAAAGTAAATACAATTAATAACTCATGCTAATGGACATTCGTGAAGCCCTACACGGACAAAGGGAGGAACAAGTCTCTTTCTCCTCATCCCCTCGAAAAACCACTCTTCTTTCCTATTACATGTTTGGAAATAAAAACATATCTCTAAAGAATTTGTGTGTTAAAGAGGCCAAAATGGGTATCAAAAATATATAGGACTGAATAAAGAATTATTTAATCTATTAACACTTCTGGATGTGACTAGGGCAGCTGTGCACAGGGGACTTGGGCAGGGGCTTGGGACACTAAAGTTTCATCATCCAGTATGCCCCATGGTGCTGAATGGCATCTGCCCAGATGAAAGGCAACTTTTCCTCTTCCAGACTAAAGCACCACCAGCCAAGCTCTGCATCCAGAAAGTTGGGTCTACCCAGAGAGAACAACTTTTGAAAGTTCTCACAAAGGGGCCCTATGGCTAGTAGAGGCCTGGATGAGGCTAAAACAGAACTAAGAAGGAAAATTGTAACCCCAGAAGCATGTATTTAAAAAGAGGGACTGAAAATGATCTAAACACTCAGTACAAAAATAATAGAGTAATTGCAAAAAAAAAAAGTAATAATAAAATAATGATAGCAGAAAGCAACAAAATTAAAATTGTACAGATAAGTATAAACACTTATAGAATAAAATACCCAAACATTTTGAAAGTACTTTTATAAAGAGGTATATATTTTTGGTATAAATGATTAAGAAAAGGAGAGCAAAGCAGCAGACATATTAGAAATTTTAAAGAGGAAATCCAACTGCATTAAGTAGAAAATGTAATATGGAAAGAGAAAGTGTTGAAAACATCTAAGAACTGAGACAATTTTGTAGGAAAACAATTACCAAAATTGACCCAGGAAGAAATAGAATTATGTACATATATAAACATATGACTCAATTATAAAAATTGGGTCAGTGGTCAATCATAGGGCCACCTCACCAAGCACTTATGGGAAGTAGTTTATCTTCCAAGGTTCAACAACTTTTATTGTATGAATTATTCCAGAAAATAGAAAAAGGGGGACATCATTTTCCCATGAGTATTAAGAGGCTAGTATGACCTTGATACTAAAGCTTGACAGGTGCAGTGAAAGAAAGGAACATTACAGACCGAACACCTATGAAAATAGATGTAAAGATAATAAAAAACCCACTACTGAAATGAATTTGAAGTACATTAAAAATAGAGTATTGTTTAATGTTAGAAAATATATTGGTGTAATTTGTGTTGACGGGATATAACTTTGACTCTTGGAACAGAAAGATCTAAAATAATAGCAACTTTAACAAGATAGAATTTTGTGTCTCACATGGAACTCTAGGTAGATGGTCCAAAGCTAATATGGTGACTCATGATTAGTAGTGACCC